CCCAGACTACTGCAACTGGCAGTACAGTTTGGGGAGGAAGGGAGCAGCCCTCAGTAGTGAAAGAACAGGTTAGGGACAACTTAGAAAATCTGGACGTATGCAAGTCCATGGGACTGGATCGAATGCGCCTGAGGGTGCTGGCTGATGTGATTGCAGAGCCATCGGCCAGTCTCTTAGAAAACTCATGGTGATCAGGAGAGGTCCCAGATGACTGTAAAAGGGCAAACACAGTGACCATATTTTAAAAATGGGAAAAGGACGATCCAGGATATTACAGACCAGTCTGTCTGACCTCAGTCCATGGAAAAATTATGGAGCAGATTCTCAAGGAATCCATTTCTAAGCACTTGGAGGAGAAAAATTTGATTAGGAACAGTCAGCATGAATTCACCAGGGGCAAGGCATGCATGACCAACCTGATTGTCTTCTATGATGAGGTGACTAGCTCTGTGGATGGACAGCAACCAGTGGACGTGGTGTACCTTGAGTTTAGCAAGGCTTTTGATACCATCTCCTACAACATTCTCGCAGGCAAGTTAAGGAAGTATAGGCTAGACGAATGGACTGTAAGGTAGATAGAAAACTGGCTGACACTGGTCTCAGAGAGTAGTAATCAATGTCTACTTGGTAGCCAGCATCAAGTGGAGTGCCCCACAATTTGGTCCTGGGGCTGGTTTTGTTCAATGTCTTTATCAATGACCTAGAAGATGGCATAGAGTGCACCCTCAGCAAGTCTGCAGATGATACCAAGCTGGGTGGTGTAATAAATAAGCTGGAGGGTAGGGCTAAGATTTAGAGTCACCTAGACAAATTGGAGGATTGGAGCAAAAGGAACTCATGAGGTTCAAAGACAAGTGCAAAGTCCTGCATATAGGATGGAACAATCCCATGCACCAGGACAGGCTGGGGAAATAGCTCTGCTGAAGAGGACCTGGGGGTTAGTGGAGAATAAGCTGAATAGGATCCAGCAGTGTGCCCTTGTTGCCAAGAAGGCTAACAACATACTTGGCTGCATTGATGGGCGTGTTGCCAGTAGGTCACGGGAAATGATTATTCCCCTCTATTCAGCACTGCTGAGGCCACATCTGAAGCACTGTGTTCAGTTTTGGGTCACGCGCTACAGAAAGGATGCGAACAAATTGGAGACAGTCCAGTGGGGGATGGCAAAAATGGTGAGGGAGTTGGGGGACATGACTTCTGAGGAGAGGCTGAGGGAACTGGGCTTACTTAGTCTAGAGAAGAGGAGACTGAGAGGGGACATAATAGCAGCCTTCAACTACCTGAAGCAGGGTTCGAAAAAGGATGGAGCTAAACTGTTCTCAGTGGTGGCACATAATAGAACAAAGAGTAAGTCTCAAGTTGCAGCAAGGGACATTTAGGTTAGGTATTAGGAAGAATTTTCTCACTAGGAGAGTAGTAAGACACTGGAACAGGTTACCCAGAGAGGTGGTGGAAGCTCCACCCTTGGAGGCTTTCAAAAGCTAGCTAGACAAAGCTTTGGCTGGAATGATCTAACTGAGGATGGTCCTGCTTTGAGAAGGGGATTAGACTCGATGACATCCTGAGGTTCCTACCAACTGTAACTTTGTATGATTCTAAGAGTGCTCTCATACTTTAGCCCAATAGCTGAATAGTTAGCATATTCATATAACAATTGGGAGAGCCGAGTTCTGAGTAACCCTCACCTAGAAAAAAAAGGTTTGTATCTGTGGCTTTCTGACTTCTAAACAATGCATTAAGTACCATGACACAGGTCAGACACCATCTAAACTTGTTGCCAGACCTCCTTTTTAAGCAGACCCCTTTCACAGGGGTCTATCTAGCCCCTATTTCTTCTGTTTTGTTTTTAATGGAATGTCATGTCTGATAGCACCAAAAGATCTACTCAAATCCAAGTATATTATTTCTACTACATTCCCCTCCTCTACCAAACTAGTCACTCCACTAAAGAGGGAAATCCAAATGGTTTGACATACTTTATTCTTAACAATTATTTTGGCCTGCTTCTGCATTGTTTTCATTGGGATTCCATTTAAAGGCAGTCAAGCCACTCAGTCTTTTGCATAGCGTGGGATAAAAATCTAATTATTAAATAAATAAAGATTTATTTTAGCTGTAAAATGACAATCCATTGAATTCATTTTTGCAGAAATGTACATAGCAATTTTGACAAGAAATGTTTCTTTGGTCTGAGAATAGCAAGGTACAGATGTACTCATCCCAAAATAATCAACAGCCAAAGAAATAAAGCATTTCTACCAAAAATGATCAATATAAGTTAAAGTTTTTGCTCAGTCTGGGTTTGAACAAAAATTTGAATGTCAGTGTCCTATACAGGAAATGGATGCACTGGCCTTCCTTTCATTCAAAGATCTTTGTTTCATCCTAATATAAATAAGGGATTTTTTTCTCAAACTTTTATGGGATGATAAAATAGTTTGCAACAATAGGGCCTTAATGATTACAACATATATCTTCCCTCATTGATAGAAAGGTCACCTTCTAAGCTACGAAGAGAAAACTGTTTCCACTTCAGCTATAGAAACACATCTATTTTGTAGAATTGGGATTGGCTTTTCTATTAATTTGTGTCAAAATGATGCTATGGAAACTGAAGGTAATACACTTCAACTTGATTCTAAATAATTTTAGTGCTTCAGGAAGCAAATGCTTTTTCTGCTATTATGCTATTCACCATAAATATTTGTGCATTAATGGGCAGTGGAGACTGAATGATCTGTTGCCATTTTTCTCTTTTATACCTGAAAAACCAATAAATTCATATGTCATAAATTCTCCTACAATAGATGCAGAGTGAAAGAACCATTACATTATATTATGCCTTTGCAGAAACTGAAACAAGGACCTGTTTTGAAAAACATTTTATAAATACTAAAATCCAAATATACCTTTTATAGACAGAACAGCCTACTTAACCGAAGAGAAAGGCAACAACCAGTTTAGGGATAACAGTACTAACCTCTACTGAAAACTGCTTTGAAATATACCAATGAAAAGCACCATATAAGAGCTAGGTATTATTGCAAAAACAGGTTTTATCTGCATCATTTACAAGCAGATAAAACGTTCATAAATGATTGAGTTTAAATGCAACAAAGCCATTCCATTTTATAGTTTTCTGGTCCCCAGTTGCCTGTACATAAAATAGTCCCAGGGTGGATGTTACAGAGAACTATGTACTTCTCTCATCTTCTCCTACAGCAGGGGTGTCAGACTCCCCTGAGCTGGATCTGGACAAAGGAACACCTCACAGCTATTGGTTGCCTTTCCTTCCCCTTCCCCTCCCCCACTGCCCCCAACACACTTCCCCTATAGAGTCTCATATCTAGGAATCCAGTGGAGGTCCCTTCCACCACCTGCCCTGCCCCCAAATCCTCAGTTCTTCTAGGAGCCCCATGGGGCAACAGATAGCTCTGTGGGCCAGATCCAGCCTGTTGACAACCCTGTCCTATAACATCTAAGAACAGGAAGGCAGACTAGATATAGGTAAGTAAATTCTTCCCTTTTTACTTATAATGTTCTGTGATAGATTTCTACTAGCTGATTATATTTTCTTGATTCCATTATAAATAATTAATTATTCTGCTGGAAATTCTGTAGCCCTGTACAATTCCAAAGCACTGAACAAACATCAAGTTGTGAGCATTCAAAACATAGTATAGACAAAGTTATCAGAGGAATAAATTTTGTTTTCTGCTTCTTCCCACTTTCAAAAGCTCCTACCTTCAAGTCAGGGATCCCATAACCTTTCTTCAGAGTGATCTGGAAAACCTCCAATGAACTAATGAAAGCTGCAAGTCTTGTCAGGCTCTGCTTGCCACTTCCACCTACACCAACAAGGAGAGCATTTCCTCTGGGTGATTCTAGAATACGGTTGATGCGGCAGCTAAATTGAAGCATACATAATTACTAGTTAAAAAGTTATATTTTTATTGTTTGGAAGTTTTCAATGAATATCTATTGACCAAGAAATTGTTTTCTGAATAGGAGGCAAAAATAAAACCTCAAATGTTACTTTAAGAGAACACACAGATTAACAAAACATACTGAGTTAATGAGATCAGGAGTGGGAGATTCATGATCCATAGGAACTGTTTCCTATGGCCACTATGTCCAGCAATAGTTGAAAGTTTGACCAGGGAAATATAGTCCTGAATGTAACGACCACTGAAGTAGCAAAGTTTAGCTTCCGTAACACAGGATAGGGAAGGCACAGGAAAAAGTTGCTGCCCTTTTAACTCACCATAGTCTTTTTATGTCCATATCTTAAGGGGCATATTTGCAATAAATACAAATTTGATGAGTAAAGAATGCAATCAAACATAAATGCTAAAGTAGTAATTCCAGCCTTGTCAGTCTCTAATTTCTGTTTTAGCTGATGACTTCAATTGAACAGAAACATTTTAAAGTAAATCTCTTGTCTCCATTTGCAGAACACAGGCCAAATCAGAATATGTTTGTTATAGCACAGTAAAAAAAAAAAAAAAAAAAAAAAAAAAAAAAAAAAAAAAAAAAAAAAAAAAGGGGTAAATGTGTCACTCATAAGCAATTCATTGCCGCAAGCAGAAACACTGTTTCAGGTATAGATGGTCTACCTGTGTCAGAAAAGTCATGTTGTCAATGTGGCAAGTAGCCACTATATTGGAATCCACGATGACTACTGTGAATTCACATTTAGGTCAATTTCAGCCCCCAGTAAGGATAGAAAATTAATTCAAATGATGGAACCAACATTGTATGAACTGAGATCAATCATAATATTTCCATTGTGGAAACCATATTGGATTCCAATATGGCTGCCATCAATTTACAGGTTTGTTCATCATTAGATACCCAAAAGGTTTGCAAAGTTGCTACATCAATTCTGTTCTGTTTCATTTTACCTTGACATGAACACCTCTAATTCAGATGATCAACAAGATAAAATATGAAAGTGAAATCCTACCAACAACATCAAGTGAAGAACACACTAGGACATCAAGTAGATCATGTACTCCAGCAGTTCACTGAAGGATGTGCATATTCTGCCAGAAACATTCTAAGAAGAAGAAACTGAGTCAAGTGGTGTTTTTGAATCAACCTATGAAATACACAAGCTGACAGAAAACAATGAAGTGTTGCATTGCCAAGCTGGTGTAGAAGATCTAATAGTTGCTGAGGCATGTGACCATCCTGAATCCAGGTTGGGGGAACAATGGAAGCAACAAGTCTCTCATTCCTATTTGCATATGTATATTGCGCAAGAAGGTATTCTTCTTTCTCCTGAAGCAAGACATGGCATCAAGTGATTGATGAACTAGATGCCAGTTTTGCATGGAAAAAAGTGTACAGTTTGAAAAATATACTTGAAAGATATTGCAATTTAGAAGAAGATGGTGGTGAATGTCTTCTGACCCCATTGAAGCAAATGAAGCACAGACTTCAGCCTTACTAAAATAGAGCCATTCAGTTTCAGCATCAAAGAAATGCAAATCTTCCACTCCTTTTCTTTTGAACTATGACAACTGGTAAAGCTGTACAAGCAGTTGTAACTTTGCATATAAATGATGAGAAAGCCATTGGTCAGCAGTTCAAAGAAGAGTTTTTGGACACATGAAACTTGTACTATGCTGCACTCAAGGGATGCAGCAACTTGAATGAAGAGCAATCCCCAAAATATGTTCCTGATAGTCTTTACACATTGATCTATTTGATTTTGGAAGCTGATGATGATGACATAGATATTGAAAGTCATTGACAAGATAATAAATATATTCAGTGCATCTCTGTCTAGATGTCAGGATTTGGTTTACCTACAATCAAGGGCCAAAAAGCTAGGGCATTTTTACACATGTATGCATCACAGCACTGGGCACTTTGAAAAGCACCTTGGAGGTGCTTTAGTTTAAAAGCACACTGCTGCCATTTTCTGCATGCCAACATGCATTTTACCGCTTATACAACTGCATGTGGTACAGTGCAGCTCACCTCAGCTTGCATGCTGAGCAGACTCAATTAGTCTGCTCCAAAGCAGAGGATCTCCGGTGCATCACTGGGAAAAGAGTATGTGTATAAATGCCCTTAATGCCAAAACACAATGCGTTAGGCTTATTGATACATCATGCAACTACATCTAAGAAGCTGGTAAAAAGTCTCCACACTGCTGGATTCAGCATACCATATGACATAGTTCTTCACATTGAGACCACCATTGCTCAGAAAAACTTAAAGGAATTTAGGGAAAATGGAGTTGTTATCCCAAGGAATCTCATTCCTAGTTATTTTATTGTTTTTTGTCAGACACTGACATCTTAGAGGAGACATTGGATGCAAAACAAACGTTTCATGCAATGCAAATTGTAGCATTTCAAAGAGAACCATCAAAACCAGTTGAAATTGAAGAAAATACCAACGTAATAGGAAGGAAAAGAACCTGGAAAGATGTAGCAACTGAATTTAACAAAGTCATTCCAGTGATGATGACCAGTAACTTGCCATTGAAATCAACCGTCCATAGTATAGGTAGTAACACAAATAAAAAGCTTGAAAACACAGCTGTTCAAGAGATGTCAGGAGAACTACCATGGATACCGGGGAGAACATCAGCTGACAACCAAAAGAATGTTATTTTGCTAGGGTGGACAGAATTTAACCAGTTTCTTACTGTTGATATTTCACCACTATTGATTGTTGGATTTTGTCCCATACTGTCTGCACCAACATCTGAGTATGACATCTGTCATCATGTAATGTAAAACAATTCCTGGGATTATTACAGGGTTCCTGGGATAACAGCACTCAGTCATAATGTTTGATCGGGAATTGTATTGCAAAATGAATGAATGTGTGTGCGCTCAGCCAGAAGAGTGAAGAAATAATCATTCATCTAGGAGGTAGCCATATGTGACAGGAGTATCATTACTGGAGCCTTTCTATTGATGACTCTACCCTCCTGCTATGGAGCAACCACCTGCTTACTCACCTGCCATGCCTTGATCTTAATTGATTAATTGATTGATGTAATTAGTGGGAGGCTGCCCACTTTATGCACCCCGGTGCCCGGGGGCGCTATCTGCGGCTCCTTTTCCTCCTCCACACCGCAGCCCAAGCCTCGCAGATGGTACTGACGTGGTTTTGACCTGAGCCCTGTAGTGACTTGGCCCTCTCTTTTACCTCCTTGGGGCTTCTCGCAGCCCCCCTCTTGCTCTGGGGCTTCGCCCTGCCCTCTTTCTCTGGGGTTCTCGCTCCTCACGGCCCTCTCTCTGGGCTCCTCACTGCCCCCCTTGCTCTGGGGCTTCTCACTGACCCCTTTCTCTGGGGCTGGGGTCAATGCACCCCAAATGCTGTGCCCTCTCTGGCGCCAGGGTCCCCATGTTACCGTGGAGCCCCTATGAGGCCTCCTCCAACCCCTAATAGCCTCACCCGGTCCTCCGGTGAAAACAGCAAACACAAAAAAAACACAAAGCCCCCCAAGCTATAACATAAAAAGCTAAACCATCTGGCCAAACAACATTCAATCCCTACTGGGAAATACTCCAACCCATAGCACCTATCAGGGGATGCTCATGCAATCAGGCTTCTCCCTTCTGTCTACACTGGCTGAGCTCCCCCTCCCTTGGCCGCCAGAGGGGAACTGGCCTCATGCCCAGGGCTTAAGAAGGGCCAAGCCCTGTCCCTTCCCTTCAGCTGGCTCCACCGGTTGCCCTAGCAACCAGCACCTGTGACTTTGGTTGTCCTGGTGACTGACAGCTGAGCCTCCCCCTTCTTGCCACTAGGGGCCTCTCCTGAGCCGTTTCTGCTCTCAGGCACAGGGCACCCGAGTGCTCTGCGACACCATAACATCATAGTTTACCCAACATCAATTAGTTAGCATTTCACCACTTCAAGACTTGAAAACTGTTGGACAAAAAGCAGATTATTTTCAGAAAACACAGCCACCAACATAATGAAAGGAAAGTTGTGCAACCATGCTATCAGAGCACACAGGATAACATGCAAAGCAATATGGCATATTTTGATAAATTCATTCTGTGGTTGTCCAGTTCAAGCAAAGGATTAAATCAGAAGTAGACAGATTCCAGCCTGCATGCCAGATTGGGCCAGTGACAAACTCCATTTCCCAGGAGTCACTGCCTGCATCACTGCAGCCACTTTCCATGGATACCCCAGGAGTGGTGGGGCCATGAAAGCATGGGCCCAGGCTTTCAATGAAGACTAGCCCTAGCAGCACTGGCAGGGTGCATAGCTGGACAAGGTGCTGCTTCAGGGCTGGGGCCGGGATACAGACCACACTGTCACCAGTACAAGATTCTGGCCCCAGCCTCGGAGCAGCTCCCTGTCCAGCTGTGCCCCCTGCCAGTGTTGCTGGGGCTAATCTCCATGGAAACTCTGTCCCTGTACTGTCACAGCCCCACCACTCCTGAGGTCTCCATGGAAACCAGCTGCAGCAAAGTGGGCAAGGGCTGCTGGGAAATGGAATCCAGCTACCAGTCAGATCCACCATTTTGTCCACCCCTGAATTAGATTATGATGTTGCTGACCACCTTTCCAAACATAGCTGTTGCATTCAGAAACAATGACTATGAAACAGGAAGGAATGCAGTGAGGGACTTATTAGTGGATCTGCAAAAGACTGTAACTCTACTTCAAGAATTTGTGGAAGAACACTCCCATCAAGGTATATTCAAGTATTAGATGAACTATTTGAAACTAGTCAATGCTCTCTTGTGCTTCATCAGGGCCGAATATGAAGAAAACTGGCATGAGCATTTATGTGCCTTTTAAGAAATGCTTCCACTGATAGCTGTGCATAATCATACCAGTTACATGAGATGGGAGTCAGTATATCTTGAATGTATGAAGGGTTTAGCTATTTTTTTCTCCAATGGTATAACGAAAGATTGTAGA